ATTCTGTGGCTTTCCGTGGGCCCGGACACAGACATCTCCAAGCAGTAGCAGGGCGCAGGCCACCGGCGTATGGAAACCATCGCACCCCCAAAGCAGTGCCCTGTGCCAGGAGTTCCCCGTTGCTGTCTTTAGGGACAGCTGGGGAAGGGCAAAGCGGGTGCTGGGGCAGCTGAGCGGGTGGAGAAAAAGCAAACAGGGAAAACATCCATGTGCTCCCCAAATCTGCCTTGAGCTGAATCACAAGATACTTATATAAAGATGCGGTTAATTATTACAAAGCAACGAAGCAAGGAAACACAGACAGTCACAGTGTATCTCCTGCATTAATTAGTTGCTAAAAATGTAGATCATAACAGCTGTGAAGCTGCAAACAGGTCAGTGGCAAAACTGTCTCCTGCTTATTGTGCTGAGAAGCGTTCTTCTCTGGGAGGCTGTTCCCAAAGGCTGTCAGGGTCGGAGGCAGCTCACAAGACAACTCGAGAAGCATGTTTAAACAAGGGTGCCATCACCGAGAGCACTTACTGTTCATGTCTGCTCCGGTCTGAGAAATACCTAAAAATGTGGAGAGGAGTTAAACCTAGAAATCCACTTGAACTTAAAAACCCCTCAGTCGAACAGGTTTCTGCTGTATGTGCGCTGCAGAGCATACACATGTGGAACCAAGCGGGAAAATAATCCCTGCCTTCAGTATCTGTATGAACTTTGGCTGAGCATGCTAAAAGCAAGCTCAAGGACAAAGAAATAAGAAGCTCTACCATTATAGAGATGGAAGCTGTGTGCAGACTTCACATCAGATGGTGGTGTGCCTGGGTCTGCTGAGAAGTCTGGATTGGGAGGGGGGGAGCTCTAGCAGAATTTATGTTTCTGGCAATGAACAGACCTGAAACCTTGGGTTGCACTTTCTAGTGTATTGGCCACCCTCAAGCAAAATCTTGGTTGGCAAAACAGGGTACATCTTACCTTTTTCTTTAGGGTTTGCAAATTAAAGTTTCATATCACTGTATAAAAATGATGGGTTTGAATAAGATCACAAGCAGGATGCCAGAAGGAATTATTTCTTCTGGTCGTGAGAAACTCAAGCAAAACAAGAACCAGTGCCAAGCAGAACTGGTGTGTTTCCCCACTGGTAGCAAGAAGAGCTGTAACCCCCCTGGCAGCAAAAGGTGTGACTGCCCTGAACACCTGGTTATCCCAGGACAACTCCACATACAGCTTTCCTCAAACTCCTTTCCAGCCACTTCCAATCAATATAAGCCTCTGCCAGAACCCAAAGCGGGTACCCCTGTTCCCATGGGCTGTGACTGACCCCTGCAGCCGCTCTGGGCTTTCCCTCAGGTACCATTACCTTACCACCTTTTACTCCACAACTTCTTGTTTTACACAGGAGAGAGGACAGGCTACCTCTTACAGCCTCGTCCTCCTCTTCTGTTCATGCTTGCCTTTTTTTGTCTCCCAGCTTTGTTAGGGTACTTCACTTCTAAAGCACTTTGAGAAGAAAATTGTGCTAAACAAAGCTAACGTGCAGAAAAGGACATTAAAAATATCTGAGGATTATGTATGAAATGAAGACAGTCCACTTCTTTAACGTGGCACTACTGGTCACTGGTAAAATAGAAGAAAAATGTGTTTGGAAAAGATTTAGATAAATGAATGATGTTTTGCTGCAGCGTGTTGATTTAAGTAAGAAATCTAAACCTGTAGAAGAGAGGAATTAGTCCTTACTCAGAAAACACTGATTGTTCTATGTCTCAAGATACCCAAGAAAGAATTAAGGCATTTTGGGGGCCGTGCAGTCATGTACCCTGTGCATCTGAAGAGTTGTCTGGCTTTTCAAATTAATGAAGAAACAAAAATATCTGCAAATCTGTCACCACTTATGCAAAGAATTTTTGAATGTCGATTATTTACTGAGTCAGGTCTGAAGTAGCTTCTTTCCTTCTGATCTTTTTTCTCTTGTTTTTGTCTGCCAAAAGAGGAGGGCATTTCTATAGAAACTATGAAGAAATTGGCAATTTCAAAACATAATTAGGAGCTTTATGTGCTTCATTTTAAGGACATTTCACACTATGTCCAAACAATAATAAGGGCAAAGTGCTGCCAACTGAAACAATCAGCTGGGGTTCTTAATGTAAAAAAAAATTAGGGACCATTAATTCATGGAGCTAATCTCTGAATGAGGGAGTGAAATTAGGTTATTTCAGTGAAGTGAGGGAAAAAATTTCCAATAGCATTGTCTGAATTGGATTGTGGTCTGCCCTGAGAATATATCAGGTATTTGCTGTACCACAGACAAATTTTTTAAAGCCAGTGTTCATTTTGCAACCATGTATTGCAACCAAAACCTGGGTATTTAGTTTCAAGTATGGTCTTAATCCTGCAAGCATACACATACATACCAGAAAATATAAGTAAACTCATTGAATTTACTAGGACTCATTCATGCTGAAAATTGAGATGGACTCGTTTGCAGATCCATACACTTTTTCATTTACCTGCCTGCTATACAAGATCGGCTTGAGAAAACTCCAGGTCATAACAAGCAACATCCCCAACTTCCAGATGTGTTTTGTAACGTTGCCTTAAAAGGATTTCTTTAGGCCACTTTCCAAATTGATTTGGATTTTCCAAATTGGTTGGATTTGTTTGGTTTTAAACACACATAGCCAGTTCATAACAGTGCCACAGAAAAAAGGAGTTGGGTTTTTTGTGTGGTGTTGATAGTCTGGTTTTCGATTGTTTCTGTGTGTCTCGTGTTAGTCAAACTGGCCACAGTGCCTCATTTTTCTGGGTATTTGGCCCCAAAAGAAGATTCACACCAAAGTACCAGATTAAGATGGCATCGTAAGAGCATCCTGTACACTTTGACATGATTTATTGCCAGGGAAGAATTGTTGTTTCTGCTGCCTAACCCTCTGGCCTTTCTTGTTCACTTTGGTGCCTACTTTTAGTCCTCTTCCCAAGCAGAGTGCAGGCTTCTGTATGATGCTCTGAGTCTTTATACAAGGGAAGTTTTCTTATGATGAAATCATACTCAGGGATGAGCATGGCTAAGGCTCGTTGTGGTGGAATTTGTTACCCAGTGAGGGAGGCATAGCTGACTTAAGCCTTGAAAGTCTTTCGCTCAGAAGTCTGCTTATTGACAAATCTCACAGGTACATTGTATGTGCGCAGGAGAACATGGGTGTTACCTGCACACACCAGAGCCAGGGTCCAAACTGGTGATGCTGCTAACTGTGGGGAGTTTGGTCCAATTCCACCAGCTGGGGGTGGGACCTTACCTGTCTTCCCACTGTGTTCAGAAGAAGTTTAAATTCACTCTGTAACTGCTGCTCAGGGGTAGCTCTGGCCTTCTTCCACCTCAGCAGTGGACATGTGCAGTACCAGCATTCACACAGTAACGTGGCATCCTCGTTACACCTTAAACTCCTTACACGTGAGCCTCCTGCTCTGTGCTTCCCAAATACCTGCTAAGTTTTTTCCTGAGGCTTGCTTCCAATAAAACCACCCTCTCCCCCCCTTCATTGTTTCGTGTGATCTTTACAAAATGTGGCATTTCTGTGCCAAAGGCCTGTGACAAACAATGTTGTCGGTCGTTGAGGCATTAAAGGAGTGAACTGTCTTCACTTCATACCCAATCCTAAGTTATTTTTAAATGTCAGAGCTTTTGACTCACTGGTTGTCACTGGCTCCAATTTTGGGATACCCAAAACTGAAATGCACGGGCCTGATTTTCAGAAAGTGCTGTGTTCCCTTTCTGCAAATGTTAGTCTTTTTAAACACATTTCAGAAATATGCACAATTTCATCAGGATCAGTCAGTGCTCTGGAATTTCTGACTGCGATGCATCTCTGCCATCTCTCCTGTTTTCACGCAGTCATTCTTTCTAAATTTGTTGTCAGATGACATTCTGCCTGGCAGAAACATATAAAGAACATTGAGAAAAATATCCTTAAGGATTTGTGAGTGACATATTTGGGGTTGTAAGTGGTTAATTCTGATTCGCTCTTGTTCAATAACTTTTGAAAGGTTGAAATTTTACATTTGAAAATGAAAAAAATAATGTAGACATAATAATTGCCTGCATATAACTGACCTATTTCTCAGTGCTTCTTATTAGGAAAATTGCTTTCGCATTTAATAGAGCTCTTATCTGTTCAGTCCCAATTGAAACTCTCTTTGTCAAATCAATAGAACAGGCCTCCTTCCACCGAATGCAAGACCACTGTTGCTTATGTTACCAACAATTATTTTTATTTTCAGAATAATTATTTCTTTCTGAAAATGGCATGTGTCAGTGTGCTTGACTAAATGTCCAAGAACAGAGATTAAATGATCAGAGTCAAGAGGAGATGTGAGTTAAATGGTGACATGCATAGTTGAGTTTTGTTGGTGAATGCCAGTGAAGGCTCAGCTTGGTGTGGATCCTGCAGAAGCAGAAGACCAACAGCATTGTAGAAAGAAAAGTGACCTTTGAAAAAGGCTTTTTTAGTCTTGCATGTCCTTGCACCTTCCATCAGGCATCTTCTTGATGCCAACTCAGCATCAGAGCAGCAATAGCTAGTATGTACGCTCACAAACTCAGCACTGTGGTTGAATTACTGTGCAAGCACAGAATAATCCAGGGAGGTTAGATCTGAACCCTGTGGAAACTAGAAATGCATCCCGGTGTGATGGACTATCCTTCCACAGGACATCTTTTGAAACGCTGCGGGTCTCTCACCAGGCAATGAGTATGTGGTCTACAGCTACCACAGCGCCAAGTTACTGGACAAATCTGCTCACACATTTAGCCATTGGATTCTCCCAGTAGGACTAAAAAATTTGAGGAGGCAATGATTTGTCTAATAGGAAAAAATAAATTAAAAAAAATAAAGCAGAGAGAGGACAATAATGCTTGAGGGTTTTCTCTCATAGTGAGATCAAGAAGCAATTAATCTGAGTTTTTTGAAAAAGTCAGCTACATTTGCTTTCCTAATAGCATTCTCTTCTTTTTTCTGTAGGTCCAGCTGCCCAGCGCCAGGTCCAGAATGGGCCATCTCCAGATGAGATGGAAGCACAGAGAAGGTAAGTGCAGTTAATCAGTTATGGCAGAGTTCTAGTTTGTAACTTGGATTAACGTGCAGTCCTTGCTCACCAACAAGCACTGTTCTTTTTACTTGTACCTGTTTTAAGCTGATCCTGAGTTTTCTGTAATTATTGCTAACGATTCTGTAACTTTTTAAAGGGTGAACTGAAGCCCTAGGTAAACTTTTTGCTCAAAGGCAAGCGTGAGGCATGCTGATGTTCAAAGTTAAAGACAAAACATGTTTAAAAGCATTTTGCAGAGTGTGTTTCTCAAGCACATGAAGGGCTAACCTCAGCCCGTTCTGGACCACGTGCTGGCACTTGGCAGTCACAGTGCCCAGGGAGCATCTGACGGACCATATACGCTCTCATTAATAGCTTAGGCCCATTTTGTGTATGGCTGCTTCCTATATCATATGCTGTTCCTTTTATGAATGTTTTGCTCTAAACCACTGTAATAAATCAAAGTGTAAAGTCATAGCGTTCGCCTTTACACGTATGCCTAGCCTTAGTGCTGTCATTACACACAGCCTTTTCTCTAGCTGCTAGGAGTGGTCTCCTTGATATCAAAGGGAAGGTAGACAGGAGTGTCCTTCCTTACATGCCTGTCTCCATAACCAAATTATGAGGCCCATCTCATTTCAGCTTTGCTGATTCAGGCAAGATTCCTGTAGCTGCAGTAGAAATCCCTGTAGCAGAAGTACCTTCAGCTTCCTTCGCTAAGTTTAAGATGTACCTGTCCCATTCTGGACAAAGTTTTCTCATCTGTCCTGTAGACCATGCTGTCAGAGCTGAGATCAGTCTGCTGGGCATTGGTGGTGTCCGTGCCAGCAGCACTGCTTGGGCAGGCTTGTGCTTCCCTGTTGAAGGATAGGCTTGTGCACACAGAAAAAGCACCTTTGTTCCCTGTATTCCTGCTCACTGCAAGTGTGTTGCTCCTACTGCATGAGAAATGCCACAGAATATTCTGCCATAACACGTGTAAGCTGGTGAGCCTCACTACATCAGGAGTGCATTGGAGTACAGAAGGCGGCAGGACCTGTCACTGCTCCAAGTTTGGTACCGGGCATTGCTTAAATGAGGCATCTGCATTTGCTTCTGTAACGAGGGGAGGATCAGCAAGTGCAGTTAGCCCTCCAGAGGACGTGGCCCAATGTTTGGTCCAGTTAATAAATAGCTTTGTAAGGATTTTAGTGGAATGAGACCAGCAGGGGCAGTTCAGCACCAAAGATGTCGGATGTCCATCTGAGGTGACAGGAGCTCAGTGGGCTCTGCCTTTGTTCGTAGGTGCAACCTGTAAGCAGGCAAGATCCCCCCTTGCGGGGTCCAGGGACCGCCCTGGTCCTATGAGTAGTATAGCTTAATAGCTCACGCTCCAGGAGCAGCAGGGATGAAGTGTTGCAGTACAGCATTTGCATTCATGCTCCAGGGCTACCGTTCTGACTGCCCTCCCCCCCCCGCCCCCCAACCATGTATAGGTCAGTAAAGACAAGGCCTTTACACGGGCTGTGATAGGTACTTCAGATTCTCTCCTTCCCCCTCCAAAAACTGTAAGGAAAGCGTAGGGAAACTGGTTTCCTGCGCCTTTGTGTATAATTCCAAATGGCCTGAGATTTAGTAGGGATTTACATACGACTATTAAATGGGTCAGCGGGTAATGATATTTCACTTGAGATTTGCAAGATTTACTTTGGGATAGCAAAGCTATCATAAAGGTCAGAGGAGAGCTCCTGCTCACCCAGAGGAGGGGGGATGCTGCCTGTCCCTGCTGCCTGGCTGAAGGACCTTATCCAGCTCTTCATTTAACCAGGAAAATCACTGATCCTTCAGATCATATGTAACTCAGACCTCAAATTTAGCTTTCTAGTCTGTACATTTAAAGTGTGAGCAGCTGAACTACACGAGAAAAAAAAATACTTATTGTTTTTCATTTCAAGACAGTAAAAGCCTTTTGGGTAGGTATTATTCAACTGCTACAGGGCACATGGTTCTGAGAAAGCTTCTTTTGCTCCACTGGACTGGAATAAGCTATGCCAGTAGATGCACTTAGATATTACTGCATCTGCACTAGAGGATTTTCAGCTTTAATTATGCTGATGCATTCTTTAAGCTTAGAGCAGACCTAATTTTAGGCCTAGCTTTTTTTGAACATCTTATAAACAGGCAAGGAAATGAAGTTATGGTAACTACTGTGCAAATTTGTATGTTTAAAAGGTTTTTTAGAGACCTTTACACAAATGTTAAAAGAATATCTTTTTAAGTCAGAGTGTAATTTGTCCCCTCTTGTACTTTACTCCTTGCATACTCCTTAAGCAGCCTTGTGCCAATCTCAGGCTTTATTTAGTTCCACTGGAATAAATTTGACTTCCTAAGAGTGTAAGAACTTCTTCTTTTAGCACGTGTGGGAGGGTGTATTTGGCACGTATAAACTGCTTCTGCCCAAGGGCAGACAGGGCTGGTATGAACCCCAATGATTTCAAGTGGCGGTGGCTGACCCTTGTTTTGGGGAGCAGCCCACACCCGTATCTGCTCTGCGGTGGCTCTAGTGACTTGGAGAAGTCTTACCCATATTTCTTTCCTGCTCTGTCAGGCTGGGATTTTCCAAGTCTGTCCTCCAGATAAACCTAGAATTCCCCCCAGGTTTAACGAGGCAAATGCATGTGTCAAGTTGTTCTTCATCAGCAATTTTTGCTAATAAATGCCAAGCTAAGGAGGGGACGCTATGCATAGGAAATTCTTAGTGCATGTGTTTACAATTGAAATTTTAGCAGTGCAATTGATGCTGTTGCATATGTGTTCAGCCCATAACTATCAAATCAGAGCCAGGGTATGTATTAAAGTAAAGATTTCTATTTATTTGGTTTCAAGTGTCATAGCTTAAGTGAAACCAGTTGAATCAGCCAACTAAGGCTGTTCCTCAAAACTGTTTCCCCTTTGCACACATAACAATTTTCTCAGCTGCCTGTAACGGTTTTCCAGAAATTGCCAGTGTTCGACGGATTGCATGTCCTGAACATGGAAGGGGATTGATCCCTCCACAGTGAATAATTATAATCGTGGATTTTCCTGTCCCATCTATTGAATTAGAATTCAAATATGGGGAATTTGTTTTGCATACTAAGACATTCTTTTTTCCTTACATAATGTAACTTTATTTTTCTAGACTTTTGTTCTAAAAAAAGCTTTTGTTTGTATGTAAGAAGATAGAATTGTTGAGAATTGCAGACTCAGGAAAGTACAAGTAAAAATGTAGCAGGGAGATCTCTCTGTAGTATTACATAAGGAGTCAAAACAGAAGTGTTGCCTAGAGCTAAGCTTGCCTTACTGTACAGGCCATGAAGTAAAGTTCTAACAGAAAAAAGAAATCTCTAAGCAGTTAAGACCTGCCCAAACATACGCGGAACAAATTCAAGGCAAACTTGGCCTAGGAATTATGGAAGAAAATGATAATAGACCTTATACCAAGTGCTCCAGTAAGGTAATTTCAGAGTTGTGTTTTAGTATTGTTGAAATCTTTAGTCCACATCCATGTGCATGGTAAAAAGCCTGGCACATAGTCTGGTTTTTAGCTCTCTATCTTTTTTACCAAGAGAAATGCCAGGGAGGGTTTGTGGCAGGGGTCAGCGACAGCTCTTTCTGCAGCAGTGTTACAGTGTGTGAGAGAAGACCTCTGCTGATAGACCCTGGGAACTGCACATCTCTGGAAAGCAGACCTGGGAAAAGGCTCAGCAGTGCCCACGGGACACCAGGCCTGGGTAACATGGGAGCTAGTAGCACCTTGGGGGAAAAAGCTGCCAAAAAAGCAGCTCTGCAATGTTGTGATCTGCATTTGTGGAGGCAGCGTGGCAGCCATGGTCCCCGTGGCCGCGCTGGCCGGCACAGGGCCGGCTGCGCCAGGGCATCAGGTGGCCGGCTGTCAGCCAGGTTGTGCGGCTGCACAAAACAAGTTTTGTACAGTCAGCACCTAAACGCAGATCAAGCTTCCTTATATTTTCATTTTAACTACCTGCCCTCTGGGGTCCCATTCCATAAAAGACTCAGGACTTGTGTCCTTTTATGCGAGATGCTTCTTGCTCTTCCCTTGCAATGCTCATGCACTTCAGGCCAATGCCGTGCATGTGTACGACCACTGGGTACTCCTGGACCTGGGGCACTGACTACTCCTCCTGCAGAGCCCGTTGAGCAGTTACCGTCTTAAATGGATCAGCCGGCCCCTGCAGTGTCTGGCAAGTGCAGGGCAATGTCCTGGTTACGCTTCCCCAACGCATGCAATGGCACTGCTGTGGCCAGGGCAAGTAAAATCAAACCCACCTCCATCTCACGGGAACAGCGTTTCTGTGAGGGACTGGCTTGCACCACCCGAGATTTACAGCTTGAGCGCTTCTCAGTGTATAAAGCTTTTACTCAAAATTGTAAAGACTACATAATGACCGAGGGTTTTTTCATTGCTGTTTTAGACAAGTGATGGAGCAACAGCAACAGCGCCAGGAATCTCTGGAAAGAAGAACCTCTACCACAGGCACGTATCAAGCCAAGCAGATACCGTCTCTCCCTGCTTGTCTCCTCTAGCTGTAGCTGGGTTTTCCGTGGTGCTATACAAGAGCTAGACTGCTAAAAGTGGTTGTAGTTACAATTAGATTTTAAAGCATTTTCGGCTAGGGACTTACGTGCATTCGGGCATGGTTGTGTTGTTTCGCAGAGGCTCAGGTCTGGGGTGTGCAGGTGGAGCTAGGCAGGTTTTGCACTTGGTAAAACTTGTACAGCTGAGGGGGATTTTAGGCGTACCAAGGGGACCTGGCCACGCTTCTTCCACAACCACGAGGAGAGAAGGAAGCACAGCCACCGCAGGAGTGACTCCGTGTTGCCAGGGGACATCAGCACGAAGGGGTGGAGGTGCTGGATATGCCAGGTCAGGCGCTCCCCATCGCTCTGCAGCACAAAGCAAACTACAGCGCAGAGGAGAATATAGCTCTAGATGCTCATCGGTGGGGACTTTTGTGGTCACGAAGTGAGGAGTTTTCTGTGAGCTTAATGGAAAAAAAAAATATATATTTAATGAGCTTACAAAAATCTTCTCTAGCATATTAAGTTGCACTAAGCTGAGAGAAGAGATGACAGGAATAGCTTATAACTACAGAGTATGGCTTTGCCTCTCTGAAAGAAGGCAAAGCAAGCAAGCCAAGATGGCCAGCTTGTGTTTGGGCTGTTGTTTTGGGGAAGTTTTTTCAGTTAACCTGACCACATAAGTGAAACGTTTTTCCTTAGCTGTGACAACTTTTTAGTTTTTGACTTAAAACAGACATACACACATACCTTAGCCAGCGACAGAAGTTATGGACTCTGTTTCAGCAGAGGTTACTGTGTGCTGTTCTGCATAGGGAACATAGCCAAAATCCTGCCTTGGCATCCGCAAGGAGTGGGATGTGTCTCCAGGGGGCTTCTGGCTGTCCCCACCCTGGCTACAAGGTGGCCACTGCTGTCCCATGCGGCTGCCTCTGGTGCAAGGGTGATGCTCATGATCCTGACTTGGATTCACACAGGGCTTGGAGGAGCCTCCCTGGCACTGGAGCATGCAGCCCATCCTGTGCTGCCAGGGTCCTGCTCCACATGGCCCTCCTGGTCTGCCAGGGGTTGGAAACCCCCAAGCTGGTGCCTGCACCATCTCCTCTTCACTTTGTTTGAAGTTTCTGTTCATGTATATTTTGCAGTTCCTTTTTCTCTGTTCCACTTTGCCTTGATTTTGTTCCTTGCCGCGTACCCATCTTACTCTTTTCATTTGTCTTTTCTGTTCTTTTAGTTTCCACCCTTCAGATAAGCGTGTGCTCTCCCCCCCCTCAGCCCCAGTC